TTTACGCTTAGAATTAGTACCTATTTACTGTCATCATGATAGCTAAGCATCCTTTTTTAAGCTCAATTCTTTTGAGATCAAATTTTTTTCCCTTAAAGATTGTAACCTAAGGCAGCATGAATAATATGTAAAAGGTACGAAGCATGCATCTTTGTGTCTACAAGCTACATATTTTTTATCTATTTAAACTTTTAATAGAGCTAACTTTAGATTAAAAAAAAAAGTGACAGTTAATCACAAGTACAAAAATGTATATTATGAAGGCTAGTTTGATTTCGTTTTCCTCAAATTTCTTCTCCCCTTGGGTCAGGGGTGTATGATTCCACGAACAGCGGGGTGTATTTCTCAACAGCCCATCGAGTAGCATTATGCCAAGTACTCAGAATCTTAGTCATATATCTAGATCATCATCATCATTAGGTACGACAAATTTCACAAACAATGACCTTCCTGTATAAAGAACAAATTAGGTGTGAATATAAACAAAACCCTTCGATACGAGTGGCTTGAACCAAATTAGATAAGGGTATCCAATAAACGGAGTAATAATGGCCAGTTTTGTCCTACCTTGACATGCTTTAAACACTGTAATCTTCCTTTTAAGAAACGAATTTCAATTACTAAACCGCCTTTACACATGTGAGTAGAGAGCACGAGTCCTCTACTTTTCAATTAAAAACATATTTTGGATGGGACAAGTTTGGATGTGGCCATTGCACGCGACCCTTTGAAGTAATTATAAAAAATATGGCAAGACTTTTTGGAGATTGAAAAATCCAAACCAAAAAGAATTGTTAAACTAGAATAATTTGTGGTCTAGTGGTGCTTGCTTGTCTACATTGTATATTCACAACTTATAATAAAAGCATGTTGACCTATTTTCTCTTTGTGGAGGAGTTATCCCGCATTGTTATTGAGCTTTTCATTTGCTTTTTTCTATTGTGATGTGTTTTCTACTTTCATGTGGGATTCCTCACACTTTTGTTCCAAGTCCAAATTCCACTAGGAGTTGGGTGTTGGTGGAGGATGGCCTATAAAAATAATAATAATAAATCTTAGCTACTCCCATTTAAAGAGCGATTAAAATCTCATTGGGCTGCCCCTGATGTACTCTTAACGTTCTTGATGTCGATGTTTTCTGGAGAAGAAAACTAGCATTAATGTTTAGCTTAAAGTTATATGCACATATATACATATATTATTCACAGAGAAGTTAAAGTTGTTAAGCTTTTTATGCTGAGTGGGTTACAAGAAAAATATGCCGAAACGAATTTCTTCTCTTTCTCTTTCTCTTATCCTAATATTCTTTATAGTGTGGAACATTACAATTGGAGAACTTGTTCCCAAAGTCTTAGTTAGCACTGAAAAGTGATTGAACCGTAAATAAACATTTTAACTTATTTTTTTGTATGTCTAAGTTAATAAAAGTTTATTTTAAATAAAATATAAAGAAACTACTCCTTTATGTGAAAATTAATGAATCTAAAAGAAAATATTAATCAGTATCAACACTAATTAAGGTATAAAAAGTTATTTAAAACTGTAATAATACAGTTCTCTATACAGATTTTTTGTGAAAAGTTTAGTCATGTATATACAGCTAACAAATTTTTTATGCAGATTTTCGTTACCGATAATCTTATTTTTCTGGCAAAATAAATACCAAATCATATTAGAATTCCGAAGCAGGACATGATAATCCCTGTACTACCTGCTCCTGTTGGATTAACTTTGTTATGTCTGTAAAAGTGAATAAATTATTAGAAGGAAAAAACGTGACGACATTCAACAATATTTCTCTCTACCATTTCGTGTGGCGAATGCCTTTTCATCGTTCCAAGCAGTATACATCACATATATCACTTTACTAACTGCTAACTGGAATCCGTTTAGACAACATATTATATGGTCATTGATAATGCACATTCACATCTTCCTTGTTCAGAAATTTTGCATATATATATATATATAAAAGTAAAATTTTCTTAGGCTAATGTAAGTTTAAAAATTCTTATTCTTAATTTGAATCTTTCATTTAATTTACATCTAACGAGTTATAATTTATTACTTTACTAATTACAAGATATAAATTAAATGAAAAGTTCAAATTGAGTGTAAAAGTTTTTAAACTTATACTAGTACAGGAAGATCTTTTCTCACATATATATATATATATATATATATATATATATATATATATATATATATATGATTTCAAGAGACATTTTATATTTTTTTTTCTTTTTTCATCATATTATCTGTAGCATTTTTTTTTTCATTTTATGTATTTTTTTATATTTTCATTATATTTATGAGTATCTATTTGAAGTGTGTACAAAATTTTATCCTTTTAAATTAAAATACTTTAATAATATACTCTTTTAAATAATTTTTTTGTTGTTAATTTATTTTCAAAACAGTTAGAACACTTATTTTATAAAAAATTTTTTTTTAAATAATCAATTAAGAAAAGTGTAAAGAGTGTAGCATATTCCTAACGCTCTATTTTAAACTATATATACAAACCAGGAAATATGCATATCAAGAATGGCAGATTACCTTTAAGCATTAAAGGAGGTTTTGACATGTCAAAACCCTTCATATATATTTAGCTTGTTTTCATCCCCATAAAGAAAATCAGCAGGGTTTTGACATGTACTGCATACCTTAACACGTTTTTTTTTAAGATATCTCTTTGTGCAAATTACGACGAATTTCTTCCATTAAAGTCAAACGAATTAGGAACTGTGTGTTTCTTAAGTGCTATCGTTCCATCACTGAGCTTAGCCTCCACTATACTATGAACAGACTTAAAGTACATCGATTCACCTGCCCTCAACAATTGTTCATTATCCAAGCCAGATGTCAATCCAGTGGTTTTGTGGATAAAGTTGGTATCAAGATCAGATAGTTAACCACATCTGATTAATATATACGTATTTCTTTTATCAATTTAGTCGAGTCTTGTAATCACGTTATAAGTTAACAGATAATTGAATTCTTTAAAAATGTTTATTAATGCCGATTCTATTGTGTGTATGATCATGTTTTAATAGTTCTATGTTTAAAAATATAATAACTTTTGATTGTGGGCGAATATAGTAATACTGTGAGTACACACCAAAAATAGTCACAATGCTACCGTCCTATGTATCATTTTGACGACACGTACGTTTGCTATTTAAGTATGTCCATACACTTATTATGACACCTAAATCTCACTTTGCCAATTTACATTAGTTATTGTAGCAGTATTTTTTTTTTAATCATTATTCTAATAAGAAGTACTAATGGCACATTAACCAATAAATGAATAGCATTAAAATTTAAAATTTAAAGAATTGACTGATAAATTTAATCATTTGAAAAAACTACATAAATTAACAATAATTGTAGATACTAAGTTATGGTTCCACTAAAAAATAAATTAGCCATAAAAGTTTAAGTGGAATCATTAATGTGTACAAATAATACACAAATTCAAGCCATTTAAGTTGACACTCATTTAGTGGTTTAATCCATGAATTCAAATAATAATATATGTACATGAATTTTACCTAGTAGACCAATGACGTTCGTTGCAATAATAAACGCGCAAAGATTGGTGATATAAGATCTCACATTTCTTTTCTGCTGTATTAAATTGTGCAAGTCTTCATATATGATTATCTAGCATTTCCCTTAGATTTGAAACCCATATGACCTACAAATAATAATTTAGGTATATATTCTACGCAAATCTTAAGTATTTGTGGTATTGTGTTTTAGTTAAAATTTAAAATTTAAAGTTTTCCTTAACAACTTACATTCTAAAACTCAATATTAAAAGTCAACAACACTTATTAAAGTAGAATTATAATTTTAATTAAAGAGTAATATTATAAATATTTAAAGTATATTATCTAAATCTTGTTCTAAAAAATATATAGTAGAAAAGATTTGCATTCCACTCTAAAGAATGAGAACTCAAATTTATATATAAGGATTAATTAACAAGAATCCCGTGAATTGAACTGATATTTTTAAATTAAACAAAAATTTAAAAATATTTAAAATTTAAAGATAAATATGTGTAATAAATAAATAAATAAATTATGAAGCTTAGTTTTAAAGAGAAAAGACTGGATTTATTTTTTGTAAATATTTTTAAAGTATAAATGGTTAAAATTTGATAAAAGATATCAATGAAAAAAATTCAAAATAACAAATTTCCACAAAAGTAAAAACAAATGTTAAATAATAATAATCTATACCTCAAAAGAAAAAGATAAGAAAATGCAAGAATAAAAAATTAAATTTATGATATGATACAAGAATCATAAGGTGAGAAGTTAAGCATACATGTAACAAAGACCCACAGCATCATCATCATTAGTTCTTTCGTTTTTGGTCAACGTAAGTTTGAGAAGGTGAAGTGATTTTTTTTTGTTATAATTTGTGTCAAAAACAGGGTGCAAAGAAAAGGCCCAGAAAGAGAAAAGGGCCAATTTATCCTTAAATACCCAAGGTGAGTTACTTTCTTAATGGCCCAAACACACGTGTTCGCTCGTTGATAAATAACACGTCCTCTTTAATCCTCTAATTTCATTAAAAAAACATGAAATTAGTAATCCCCCTAGACACACTGTAGAACATTTTATATAATTTTTTAATTTCAAAATACAAGTTCTACCATTAAAATTGGTGTTAAACATAATTAGCATAGCCTGAAGTTCCCCCCGTGGCACCACCTTGTGCAAATGAATTTACAAGAACAAATACGACACATGTAAGTATCCTCAGAATCATTTCACTACAAGAATTTTCTCCAATCATTGATCTTCAATATTCATAAGTTCGGTTTGGTTTTGTCATGTTGGCTAACACAAACCAAAGTTGGCAACCTTTCATTTTCTTAGACATGATCCTACCAGAATATGAAATGTTACGTGCGTGGCAAATTTCTTAGAATCTCAGAAAGAGAGGATAATTTGCGTTATCATAAAAAAAGAGTCAATCAACCATAAATGGTTACGGCTTTTATAATCAAATGGAAATGTGGGTATCAATTGTTAAAAAGGTTACAGAATCTCCCCACCAAATTATGGAAACACGAGATAAATGAACTGCCAATATAGAGTAATGCCAATATAAAAATGAAAAATGTGATATTACCAAACCTTACAAGCAAAATGCAAAACCCTGCCTACACAACCTTCCCCTTCCTCCCTCCAAAGAAAAAAGAAAACGAAAAACAAACAAATAATGGCAGGAGGTAAGAAAAGTAGATTGCATAATCCCTGTGTCAACAACTAAAAATGCAATAGCAAAACAACATCAAGGCTCAGACACTTGATAGGATGCACCCCAGGTGAGAAATTCTAAAGGTTCATCCCTGTACAAAAATATTTGACCAGTGTACCAAAACAGGATATTGGCAAAGTATCGCAGCTCATTATGCTCTTGGTCTAGCAGAGTGCCTTTAGATATTGTGTTTAAGAGTCACGTCAAGTATCCCAATAGATATTTTAGGCTTGTAATGTTCATCTGTATCCACTTCTTCAATTTCCTGGCACAGGGTACAAAAGATTCAATAACAACCTTAATCATGAAACTTCATTGGTGATTGTTGCAAATTTTGCAAGTATTAAAAACCATAATTTCTCAGATATAAGATACGTGTAATATAACTGATATTCAAACAGCTTAATGCATTTTCATTCCAAACACAACACAGACGTCAAGATTTTACAGTACCTACCTTCTATAACCACTACTGTCTTTACTACTTAGTTTTAAAAATTCATTATATGTACATGCAAAGTGATAATTCTAAAATATTGGTTTTGAACAACACATTTAACTTTGATTTATTGTTTGAAATCAATTTTAGAAAATGTAGAAAACCTAGTCAACTAAAGGGGAAAAGGAATAAGGAAAAATGAAAAGGATAAAATAAGCAACAAAAGGAAAGAAAAGCATATTTCCACACACAATATAGCAAATATAATGAGAGGAAAGTAACTTCAATCACCTGAACAACATCCTCTCCCCTGATGACTTGCCCAAACACAATAAGCTTCTCATTTAGATCTGGTATTGGTGCAGTTGTAATGAAAAGATCAAATCCTTTGTTGACGTGTTTTCCCTTGGAAGTTCCAAGCATGAATGCTTCATGTTTCATGCTAGTTAATCATGACAACATATACTAATTAGAAAATTATACAACTAACTGGTAGATTATCACTACAATTGTCTATGGATATTCATCAGAAGCTTAGATTGCAAGACAAGAAGAATAATAAAACCTTGTATGGTGTTTTCCTCTCAAGTTCCAATCTTCAGTAGCTGTTGTTCCTTGGTTATCCCCTGCCTGAATCACATAGTGCTTAATTACTCGGTGAAAAAGCATCCCTTTGAAGTGCCCTTTTTGACTGCAAAACATTTGTAGTTTATGTTGGAGGCATAGGCAGGTAGATTCAGACCAATTTCATGTAACAAACAACTTATAATCAACACACTATGAACACAAACAGATAGCAAAAGAAGTTGGACAAATATCAGTCCACCCATGGAGTTGTATTTGACGGAATAATTATCATACATATCATCATGCAAGGGCTAGCCCCACAAACAGCAGTAATACTCAACTTAATTTTCACAACTGTCACAATCTTATGGCTTTAAAAATCTATATATTCCATGAAAAGCAAGTCTACTTGCATGAAGCTGAACGTGCATAAACATTTAATTAACTAAACTACTAAAGTAACTTGTCCATATAAAATATACAAATTTTATAGAACATGTTAAACAGTTCCTATTGTTGAAACTTTACCAAATTGACAGAGAGGATTCTGAAGACCTGTGAATTGTGAATTTGTGCTGCCCAAGACTGACTGACCTAGTACTCTTATTTACACTAATAATTGGTGCTACACATACTCTACATATATATATGATTGGACTTTCACTGATAAACAATGTTGTCTACCGAGAAACTAATGCTGAAACATAGTACAGCATGCTTCAATCGACCAAAACCAGAAAATGATGTATGGTGATATTATAGAGAAAACTTTAAATCTTAAATGATGATTTCAGAATCAGTTGAGATTGAAAATTTGTAAAATTTAAATTATAAAGTGGGCTAAATGAGGACCAAATTATATTTTATCTAAAATTATCAGACACGCATTATGCAATCAGAATATATTACCGAATTGTACAAAAACAGGCTTTATACCAATTCATTCAATTTCATGTTGTTAAAGATCATAGACAGAAGGTAAAAAGCAGTGTAAACAACTTGAAATACTTCAATCACCCAACAAAGATCAAATTTCCTCTTAATGTCTATCATGTAATATCAATACTCAAACTTAACAATTTCCTCTATTACAACCACAAACCAACCAAAAACAATAACAGACAAAAGGAGTTTGCAAAAATCAAACCCGAAACCATTCAGTAGCCTCCAAATTATAACTTTGTGGGAAAACTAAGCACTCACCATAAGTCAATGAATTCATCAACAACTTCAGGAGCTATTTCCTTGTGCAGTTCTATTATTATAGAACCTTTAGAGGTATTTAAAACCTATAATAATGAAGAAAAAAGAAACCATCTTATAAGATAAAAAATTTTCAATCAACAAGACTTCTAAACTTCATTGAAATTCAGGACTTCTTTGGTTTGAGAACATATTTTTTGTTTTCACAAATAATTACAAAAATGCTAACTTGTTATCCCTGTTTTTTTGTATAAATGAAAACAGGAAATAAAGTGAAAACAATGTGACAATTTTGTAATTATTTGTAAAAACAGAAGATAAAAATAGAAAATATTTTCTCAAGCCAAACAAATTCTTAACTTGGCTAGAAAATGTTAAAAAACAAGAAATTACTGCAGTCCAAAAAAATGAAACTTACGGCATATCCAGGTAGCTCTGTTTTCTTGGGGTCCGCAAAAGTATTTTCACCCTAACAAAAAAATAATTGACTAAGAATAATTCTATTCATAGCTGAAAAAACAATTGACTTGGTCCCTATCTCAATTGGTAAACTCGAACACAATTTGGACCCTTCATATAAAATGAAGCAAACACTTGACGGAGGTACAAGATGACGAGTAAATATAAAAGGAGTGAAGAGTTATGAAAAGCATTTAGGATGAATTAAAGGATGTACCTCAGAGACTGACAAGTGATTTTCCGATTGCAAACTTGACCTGAATGCATGTAAGAAATGAGTTGTTAGGTAAGAGACAATGTTCTTCTGAAGTTCCTAGTCTATATGAGAAACTAGAACACATCATGTTCCCCATCAAAACTCAACATTTATTATAATGACCTTACCAGAAGTCATATTACTTATGTTTGTTCCATGTAAACTCATCTTGCTAAAATGAAAATAAATTTAAAATGTTCAATGGAAGAGCTATAATAAATGTTCAATAAACAATCTTTGCCAGCGATAGGGAAAAGATTAAAGTGACATCAGAATGACGCTAAAAGTTCAATTGACGCAACACATAATGTAGCAACACACTCTTTCTAATACACTTGTTCCTATTAAGTAAAATTCACATGGCAGTCCCACTAATTAATAAATGAAACACATAAAATAGGGGGTAGGACCCTCGTCATTTAGCAAGACCACATGAATTCCACCAAGTAGTGGGTGTGTTGAAAAGGTTGTGTAGAAGTGCGTCTTGTTGCTAGCATTTCTCTCGCCACAAAATATGAGGAGAGCTCAATCAAGATCAATAAAACATAAAATAAACCCCCTAGAAACAAAGTGAAAGTTTCTGACATTCCTCTATCTGGAAGCAATTGAATCCAAAATATCATCACTCACATTCATGCACTACTAGTTTAGATGAAGCTTGAGCTCAATTTTGCCAAGAATAAATTTTTAAGACCTTTTTATCATTTTTTTCTAGGAAAATTAAAATATATCGCATATCATTCTCAAACCAAGAGCCGTTCAAAGCCAGAATAGAAAATTTTTCACTAACCTGTTGGACCAATGCCTGTATGTAGCAAACAGGAATAATGAAATCAAGACAACGATCAAAGCGTAAAACAAAACAGTGGTGGCGCTTAAGCGAGAAGGTCCCTTCTTCCTTTTGCTTTGCTGTAACAGAGCCTGAGGTTTGATCCTCGCCATTTAGCCTAATCTTCAGTTTCAATGGCATCATCAATTTCCAGTTAATAAAACGAAATAAAAGGTTCGGTGTGAAAAAAAAAAACTATTCAACCAAAAGAAAATTATTATGACTATAATGACAAACACAAGATAAAAACACTAAATTCATTCAATAGCAATATCATCCAAATCTTATCGTTAACCTAAACAAATCAAACACCAACAAAACCCCAAGGCACAAAGTTTGAAATTTCCAACATGTCCAAAAATCTTGAAACTTATGCTCAATCTATAGCAAGAATTTCCTCTCAAAGAAAATCAACATCAAGAAAACCCCATAATCAAATACAAGTTAAGATCCAACAATCTGGAGACAGTTGCCCCCACTACGATTTGGGCAAAAACATAAACTTTATTCCAGACCAAGAAAAAATAAAGAAATTAAACAATACCCATTAATTATGGGAAACCAAATATGGCATAAACCTTCACCCACCAAATTTGAACTTTTTAATTTTTTCGTAGAAAGAAAAAAGAGAAAGAACCTGCGAGGGGAGGTGGCTGAAGCAGAGGGTCAAGCACGGAGCGGATCGAAGAGAAGTGAAAAATACGATGTTGGATTTAGAAAAGAACATCAACGTGTGTGTTCTTCGTTTCAACGATGATAGGAGAAAATTAGGTACAAGATTCCGACCAGTGTTTTCCAAACTTGCCGTTTTGCCGTGTAATTTATTTATTCAACTTAGAAAGGAGAATCCACGGCCAATCAAAATAAATATATATAATTATGAAAGGATTCAATTTTTATACGGAAAAGATGAAATTTCTTTATCGCGTTCAATCAAGTACCGTTGCCGTTGGGTCAATAAACAAAAGTTAATTATCACGCTGTTCCAATTGTACTCCGTGCATAAAACTTTGTGACTGGGTTAAAAACATGGATTAAAAAAATTATTATAAATTATAGTAAAACTATATTAATAATAATTTTATTTATTAAGTGATATTGATTATATGAATTTCAAGATGTTATGCAGCTTGATAAAAAAAATTAATTTCTTAAAAATATTATTTATTATGAGATTTTTTTAATAATTCTATTGAGGGTATATTAACAATAGTCTTTAATAGTAATTAGCATTTACCTAAAACTTTAATGTTAAAAGAAGACTTCGAGTTCAAATTTATATTTATTAATCTCAAATAGATAAGTAAGATTTGAACTTATAATTTATTAAATGTGAAACTAATTTTTCCCCCTGTCAACTTCTCAGAGTTCACTATTTTAATGGTGTAGCAATACACGCTTAAGTAATGGAGTGAGAAAATTTTCACTGATTGTTTAACAAAATTAAAATCAACTTACAAGAATTTAATTTTGTAAAAAAAAAATAACAAATCATGATTTGAATATTCATTGAGAGAAACACTTACATCCAGTGCTCTATCTTATCTCAAACATAATCGCCTCTTAATATAGATACAAAAAGACATAAAAAAAATAGATTTTGTTTATTTAAAATTCAGAAATAATTGAGTTATTATTTTTAATTTTCTAAAATATATTAAAATAAATACATTTTTGAAACTAAACTAATAAACCTATTTAAAAACGTTTAATTTTTTTTCAATTTTAAATAAACACATCTTAAGTTTGATTTTAATTTTAATAAACTAGTTATGAAAACTTGTGTTCCATTAGTAGAGTATTATCTGTGAAAAAAAGTTGTTGTTGGTATTTCTAAACTGTATTATAATAACATTTTTAAAGGTTGTAATTTATAAAAAAAATAAAAAAAAAGTATAACTATTATATTTTAAATTTATTTTTAACCGAAAAAGTATTTATTCTTTAAAAATACATTGAGACCTTTCACTCACTGTGAAAAATTCACCCGTCACCTTTGCATCCTTTATTAGGAGTTTGGGCCATGTCCTAGTGTGACCGATCATCTTGTTAGATTAACTGCTGATCATCTAAGTTAATACTTTACCTATTTGCTAATTAGATGTTGGTCTTCTTTTTGCTCATCAACCTATGGATTATCAGTAATCATTCTTCAACATTGTATGCATATTCATGATGATGATTTAGCTAGTTTTGATCCAATTCAATAAAGAAGAATGGAACGTAATTTGACACAATGGTGTCATTCTTTTTATTCTTTCATGGAATATAATAATTATGAAACTAATCATGAATGTGATGGTGATGCTTGGATCAACATTTATTCTCATTTTTTGAAGTGGCATCTCCATTTAGCTTGGATTTGAAGAAACTATAACGTTACTAGCTTAGGTTTGAAGAAACAATAATATTACTTGGATATAATTATCGCATAACTCTCAACATTATTATCTATTTCTATCTCTCCCTCTCTCGTTTTTATTCGTCTGCATCATTGGTGCATGATTTTCTACCCATAAACATATAATGTTTATCTCTCTTTTATTATGTATGATATTACTCCTTGTTGGATGTATTATCTTCTCCTGATTGTTAAATATTTTTTTTTATTTTATTTTATAGCTAAAAAAGCTGATAAAATTACCTGTAAGTAAAAATATTAAGCAGCATAACCAAGCTTGGGCCCAGGCCTCAGATTCACAATTTAATCGTATATAACAACATATTATGGGTTTTAATTAAGGTACTTTCTCGCATTACAATTTTTTAATCGTGTTTTGTGATGAATATTGTTATATTTATCACTATATGTTTATTTTTTTCTTAAATCACAAGTCCTCTACTATGGATCATTATGTGTATTTTAATGAAACCTCCCCTAATTATTTTTCTCTTTTGACCAAGATTAAAGAATTCTATCGTAACTTCATATAGAATAGTCATAAAAAGAAATTAAACATTTATATATAGAAGCAAATGAATTATACATGCAATTAGTTTTTTAAATTTATTAAATAACTAATTATGTGGGTAATTATATTTCAAATCAATTATGACATAGAATCTATCTACGTAAGCAATTTTAAAATTTTTCTCAAAATTTAAAAAAAAATTAAGATTATGAGAATGAAGACAAAAATATTTTTATATTCGGATATCATAAATAAAATTTAGCTTTAAGATTATAAAAGCTATTTAAATTGCAAAAAAGTACCAAATTATTGAGAAAGTTTTGGCGTATCAAAATCAAGCTATGATCAAAATGTTAAAAATAAACAAGCTTTTCAAATAAGATTTTTTTATAATTGTAATATTAATAATTCTTAATGTAATCAGCCCATTTTTAATATAAAAAAAATATACCATATCATAAATTTAAGAAACGTTGTCCTTTAAACGATTAATCTCTCAATTCTCTAATTGTAGTACTACTGCATAATCTGCATTGACAAAACTTCATTATAACCAAATTCTTTGGTCAAATTAATCATTGAGAAAGTTATGTACCTCTAATTTTCCCCCAAGTTCTCCACTTGTAGATAAATTTCAAAAGCTTATAGCTTACCCACCATTTAGATAACTCTCATTAGAAAAATGGAATAGTATCAATCTCTTCTGTCACTCTATTTTAGTAATAAAGATAGGGAAGAACACCACTAGTAGTATTTGGTATTTTTCTTTTGGAAAAGATAATTGGATCAAAGTTCAACACTTCAACTCTATTCAACTGCCTAAGCTGACAAGTATTAACAAAATGTGGTCCTTGCCACGACAGAACAGAGATAACGAAAGAATAAAAAAAAATTGCTCAAGATTAAAAGAAAAAAACAGAGAGACCTTGTAAAAGGTATGAAAAGAAAGAAAGAAAAAAGTGAAAAATAAAAAACTCTCTCATTAATGAAAGGAGAAAATTCATGGGGAACAGGAAACCCTTCACTCATGAATGGTAGAAGCCCTCAGAGGAGAGACCGTGTGAAAGTGTTCGTTTTGATATACATTTTGATGGTCCTACGTGGGATTGTTTTGCATGATCAGCGTTGTTTATGTATACACAATTGGACAAAAGACAATAAACAACCAAACAGCAATTATGATGATCATAGTATAATAAATTTAATTTCAAAAAGTATAAACTATATTAGTCCAAAAACAAATTTTTTCTGAAATAATTAATAAATCAATTTTTTAAATTAATTTTTTGAATATATTTAATTCTATTTTTAAAAAATTAAGTTTCAAGTCATTTATAATTATTTTTAAGTTAATTTATGAAAATAGTAAAAATTTTTGGAAGTGCGAATGAAAATAATGCATTCTGACCGAATTCAAGCCCAAACGTGCACCTGACTATTAGCCGGCCCAAGCAGACTAGCCCGTGGTTACAAAACTCTCGATATATAATGGCCCAAACCTTCGGATTTCATTATTTTTATGTTATATTTATGTGTTGACCCAAAAAATAATACAAGATATGTGTGTGTATATATTAAATGATATCAGATTTTAAATTTAGTAAAATAATAAATTTAACAATATTTTATATAAAACTAAAATCAAAGTATTGAATTTTAAATTTTTATAAAATAAATTAGATGTATAAAATTTCACACAATCTTAAAACAATTTATGCTACACCATCCCGCTATTTTAAAAATGTATGATAGGTCATTAAAAATATAAATAAATAATTACTATTATATTATATATCTATAAATATTTAAATCATAATATATATATATATGAATTAATAAAATTTACTTTTAATAATAAAAGTTATTAAAAGTGTTATTACACTAAAATAGATACTGGGCGTCATTTAGGGTGCATTTGGGAATATGACTTCATTAAATTTGGCCATATAAATTATTTAAAATAAATTAAAAAATGTTTTAATAAGATATATTAAGTAACTTCTTATAATAAGTTTAAAAAAAATAATGAAAAGTATAACGTATTTCAATAAATTCTCCACAATGTTTTCTCAGACGTTCAATCAATCCTTTTACACGTACATATCAGTAAGGGTTGCGCCATTTTGAGCAAAAAGATTGATTTTTCCAACTCATTGTGTGCTGCACAAAAAAAATGAAAAAATAAAAATAAAATCTAATAGTAATTATCATCATTGAATCATCCATTCTAAAAATTGGCTTAATTAGGCATAATGGTAGGCAAGATACTCTAAAAATATTAAAATTTAAACATTAGAATAAACATTTGCTGGAAAAGCTCATTTTCAACAGTAACCATTTGTGAAATCCATCTTCACGAACAATGTCATGTTTAGTAAGAGAAACACAATTATTATCATAAGACTTATCATTATTTAAGTTTCATTAATTTTATTTTTATGCCCTCTACTCTGATAACATGATGCTTACTAACATGAGAAAATAGCAATATTTAAGTTCCATTGTAATGTTCCATTATTTATGCAAAGAGATAAAAAAAAAAGATGAGATGAGAAAGCAGTTGGGGTTTGATTTGTGGAGACAAGGGAGGAGCTTAGGTAAGAAAAGAAGAGAAAGGGCCTAAACTTGGTTATTAATGGGACAGAGGAAAATGAGGGAAGGTAATGCGTCGGTGATAAAGAGGATTGGTGAGTTAAAGATGGCTGGAAAGGCAGTCTGTAGACTGTACTAGGCAGGAAGAGAGAGATGGGACGAAAAGGGGCATTTTGGGAAGTGCAGGGTATCATTGAGGAGAGTCTATCATGGTTTTGGCGTATATGAGAAGAGAAGGGTACACAAGGCAAAGAGGTGGGGTTGGTGTCCTATGTGGTCAAAAGAAATTGACTCAGACCCTTTGACTGTCCCTTGTGAGTGAGAATGGATGAGCACTCTCTGCCCTCTGCCACACTTGTCAGCAACTCCTTTCCCCTCCGTGGTACCCCAAAAACCATCTTCCATTCCCAAAATACCCCTTTCCCTTCTTTCCCAATTATCTCTCAACACCAACCTAACTTCCCACTATCATGTCTATTTTTATTTTTTCATACACAAATTGAACAAGGATTAACGATCTAATCTATGTTACAAGAGAAACAAACAAATGTAATTAGACAATAGACATAAATTAAATTATATATACATAACAATCACCAGATCAATTGTGTCCCAATAAACAATCAATGTTAGGCTTGGTTTCTCCATCAATGAATGGAACATATATCATGGATCGATCATAAATCAGCTTACAAATATCATGTGGAATCAATTGGTGAAACTGACTCAAAAATACTAGACAGGCAACAATTGAATTTCAAGAGATGGGGGTGAAAGAATGGCCAATAAATGTTATATGATTTTCTGAATCACATAATTAAATTAACTAGCTAGCTAGGATCAGAAGCGCATATTATTATATCATGATGCATATTAATTATCTCTGGCCATGGCGTTCAGGATTAATGAGTGACTGAATGGCACCGGAAAGATTCGTCACGGCCGCGACCAGGGTGGCGATGCCTTGCCGGTGAACCTCGTTCCGAGCTTCCTCCATCTGAAGTCGCCTTTGTTCCAGCTCGATCAATTCACGGTGCCGCTTCTCCTTCTTCTCCTCGCAATTCCTAAGAGCTCGTGCCAACACTGATGCACTACGCATTATGCTCGAACCAAGATTCTTAACTTTCCTACGTTTTGATTCTGACCCATCATCATCCTCACTATGCTCCGTGCCTGATGATTCCGACCTCTCTACAATCACACAAGTTCCACAACAGAATCACGAATTAAAATCCGTAACATCATTACAAGGTTCATTATTAGAGCATGTGCATATATTGCATGAAATGATTATATATATATATATATATATATATATATATATATATATATATATTATACACACACATAAAGGAACAACATATATATAAACTGGGCTTAAGAAATAATTTACTATAGTTGATAAATAAATAAATTAAGTGGTTTCCCCCAACAAAGTTTAATATATGTAGGTGGAATTAACGAGTTTTTAATTTGCATGAGTTTGGTTATGGGATGGGATTGGTCAATGTGGTACGTGGAAAACTAAGAAACAAATAATTTAAATTGGTAGAAGATTTGATGTTTAGTTATGATTAAGGATTAAGGATTATGTTAATGATTACACCCAGAGGGATTAAGGAAACTTAGAATCTATTTTCTTGGGCAGCCCACAAAATCCATGACAATCATGAGGTGGTACCCTTTCACACACCGGTCTGCATGATTGTACTGTAGAGCCCTTTATTTTTGGCTCAGAGTGTTATTTTAATTAAAAGAAAATTGAAGAACAGAACATTTTCCCCCGAGTTTTTTAATGGGAAGCAGAATCTTTGTGCAGTGGAGCAACGTGGTGTAAGATGCCACCAATAGTACTCAACTCTCCTCGCGCACCGTGTGATGCAGTCCACAGATTCATCGAACGGTCAGATACCGCTCACAGCTTTGAGCTGTATTTTAAATAGCATGCAACTGATTGTACCCTATGAAAAAATAGATGGAATATGGGTCCCATTAAGTGTGGCAGGGTTTACAGACCCTGCAAGTTTGACCGATAACCCACACACAACACAACATCCAAAATTTGTTAAAAATAAAAATAATAATAATAAAAAAAGTGTTGTGAGAGTTGAGAGAGAGTGAGCTGTGTAGCACATTGATTAGTGATTACCTGAACCCGCCGGCGTGGTGGAACTAACCGGAGCTTGCGGCGGAGGAAGAGGTTGTTGTTGCTGTTGTGGGGGTAGTGGTGGCGGTGGAGGAGGAGGTGGTGGTAAAGGTAGTGCTGTTTGAAGAGGTGAAGAAGTAACTAATGGAAGCGCAGGTTGTCTTTGAGTTTGTTTCCTCTGAAGCACTTCGGTTATGGCTTGATAAACCTCAAAGACCATGTTGGAAGGGAGGTTTTGCTCTTTGCGTTGTTGTTTGTTGAGGGACCAATAAGAAGGGAAATCTTTGTTGTTAGATTGTTGTGATTTGGAGTCATAATCACGAACCTTTTTGTAATCACGGAGCAAGTTGTCCCATTTGTCGTTGCATTGGTTCTGGCTTCTCAAACAACCATGGTTCCAGCAATAGTTCTCAACCCACTTCCATCTAAGCTCGCCACTGGTTCTGGTGGTGGTGGTGTTGGTGGGGTCATGTGGGGTTGATGAGGTTCTCATCCTACGCTCATCGTCTAGTTTCTTTGCAGTGATGAGGATGAGGGTCTCTTGGATGGTCCAGTTACCCTTTCGGTATTCTCTAACTAAGGAGGAGGAGGAGGAGGAGGGTCCGGCGGTGGTGCCACTTTGGATGAGTGGTGCATGGTGGTGTTGACGGTGTGGGTCTGGTAAGAGTGGTGGTGGTGCCAATGGGGTCGTCGAAGGTTCAGACATTGTTTTGATTTCGCATCAGATTGGCCAAAAAAATGAATGAGTAGTGACTTTGTGTGTCTTAATTTCTATGCCTATGCTCTTGTGATGCTGTTTGTTATTGAAGTCCCTCTTAACAAGTTAGAAAAAGAGTGAGAAGGGAGAATGGGATTTGGACAATGGTTCTTTTTTTTTTTATGAAAAATGCTTTCAACGTCTTAATTTTAACATTTTTAAGTGTTTTTTTTTGTGTGCGTTATAAGGGATAGTTTTAGGACATGTATTTACATAAAAACTATTAGATGTTAAATTTTAATGCTTTGAATGATTAAGATCTTAATACTATCACTTTACAATTTATTACTATTATCATAAAATACATGTTAACTTTTCTTTATGACTAAAAAAATATTTAATATCTTTTAAATTATATAGAATCATCATTAAAAAGAAAATACTAAATGTAAAAAATTGAAAACGAAAAGTAAAAAAAAAAACAAAAACTAGAAAATTAGAAAATAAAAAAGTAGAAGCTGTTATTATTACGGGGTTGCTCATGTGTGAATGGAGGATTGTATGGAGAAAGGAGTAGGTGAATGATTTACAGCATTGGTTATGAAATGGTGCCACGTGCGGAGTGTGGTGAAGAGGAGCTTGGGTGCACGTGGCTGGATTGGAGGAGGAGTCTTTTGTGCAGTAAAGGAGGATTTGGAGAGTGCTTGGCTTTTGGAGGCAGAGGAAATGGAAATGATGATAGTGAAGGCATGAACCCATGATAATTCAAATACGATATTAAGAAAACAAATTATGGTCATGCAATTTTTGTACTTACCATACACTACATAAAGGGAGTTCACGAGGACTTGCACGTAAATGACAAAAGTTGACTAATACATGAAAATTTATATATAGAATAAAATAAATAACTTTTATAGCAAAATAAATAAATAACTTTAAATTCTTTTTTTTTTAAATTCAAAAAATATATATTATTTCATAATACTTAACTCACTCCTGTGTGGAACAACTTGTAATTTTACATAATTTTAATGTAACTTATACATGAGTATTTAACGAGTTTATTATCAGTAGATCGTGATCAGACAAAATATCTTTTTGTATTAGTATTCATGAACCTTATCTTTACATAATTTGTGTTTTAAAATTTAAATAGCACTAATAGATTTTGAAAAATCATATAAAATTGATATAATTTACATAAATAAAACTTAAATATAAAAGGTTATGTGCCTTTACTATTTAAGATTAAAAAACCCAAAAAATTCAATTTAGATAAGCATATTTCTATGCTAACTCAAGCATGTTTTATACTTTAAGTAGCAACACTTTTAAATAATTTATCTCTTGTTTTTATATGAGCATGCCTTTACTCTAAGTCATATAATCTTTGGGCAACATATGTTCTGTTTTCAAATGAATACACTCATTAAAAAAAATTAATATATCTTGAGATTTTACAAAAAGAATACATATATAAAGTTTTTATTTATTTTATTTTAAATATAAATAATTCCCTGATATGACTTCATTTTTAATTTTTGAGAACTTAATTTAACAACATAAATTTTAAAGTACATTCTTGTTAAAAAAAAAAAAACTAATACAACTATGATTTAAATCTCTCAAGATCTAATTTATTTATCAACAATTTAGAAGGATTAATAGTCAGACGTATATTTGAAGAAGTAAATTGTAGATTTTTTTTGCAAAATTAATATATTTTTCTCAACAAAATAAAGTATTGTTATTAAAGAAGAGTTTACTAGTACTCATACAATACTTCTCTAAAACTGACAATTGTAAATATTTTAGATATTTTCATCATATTTTCCATTGTATAATCTTTCCGTAATTGGCTGTGTGTTAATTTATTGCATTGTCAAATTTGTATCTATCAATTTAAATAATATTGTTCCTATCGATTTAAATAAATTTACTGGATAAGTCACAGTATCAAATGGGTAAAATTTAATAACTACTGAATAATAAAAAAGTCATGATACACCCGAAAAATAGGATATAATAAAAAAAATGTCATGTTACTCCGTTATGACCAAATTGAAAAATAAAAGCTTAAACCTAGACACATGTTTCATAGGAATTAAAAATAACTTTGTAAAAACAAGTTATGCATTAAATTATTACATGCCCATAGGCCAAAGATGACTTCTTACTTAAAAAAAAAAAGTTAGATAGTATCCTTTTCAAATTAAAAATATTAATTCACAACGTAATAGAATTAATTTTCCCAATGTAAATTCAAAACATAAAATAATAGAGTTCCACTTGAACAAATTTCTGTTAAATCATATTCTTACTTTTTGCTTTAATCATTTCATCACCTACACTTAAATTGAATTTAAATTCAAAGCAAACTAGTTAAAATAAATTTGCTTTTAAGAGATTTCAATATATTTGTTTAAACTTTTAAAAAAATTTAAAATATATTTTTAAAAGCTTTTTAAACAAATTCAAAAAACTATAACTATCTTTTAATTTTTTTATAATTATAAATAAATAAAATAATTTAACATTTTATAAGATCTCTAAAGAATTAATAACTCGAACTTAAACAAATTAACTTTATATTCAATTAATACTGTGGCAACAATTCAAATGTAATTTGTTTAAGTTACATAACGGTAGGCTTTGAACCCACCAAAAACCTCGCATTCAAAGTCGTAGTCTTCAAGATTAGATAAGGTCAAATAAGCAACGACAGTGCATTCACTTTGGATGAAGCTGTCATACTCATTATTGTGTTATGATGCGAGAGAATTACAACTTCGGGTGAGAAGTGAGAACAATCTCTTACACTGTCATACACTCATAGTATCATATTATTCCTTCAATTAAATTGTATTAAAGATGATAATAAAGTAATATAATATCTGTTCTTATATTTACATTTTAAAAAATATCCATAATATTCCCATACTTGTTAATAATAACTTTAACCCACCTTCATACCTTCTGAATACTTAAAATATGATTTTTTTATTCTAATTGTGTTTATAATTAGTACAAATAAATAAACATGAATGCCTATACTCTCTCACACACACACTTACTCCCACACAATTAATTATATCCAAAGAATTTTATTGATCTATCGTTTGAACATTTTAATCATAAAATAAAAATATATTTTATTTCATTCATATTAAAAGAGAAAAAATAATTTTATTATATTTCATAAATAAAAGATTAAATAAATGATTGAACTATTATTTGAATAATCACAAAATATATTTTTTTCAATCACATTAAAAAGAAAAATTAAAACCATTTTAAGAAATACATTAAACTATTTAAACAATATAACCTTTAAAATTTTTATATTTTTCACTTCATTCCCTTATCAGTTCAGGGTCAGCTTATATTTTTTACTCTCGTGTGTATTTCTTTTTAATCCTAGGATATATGCTATTTGATTATTCAATTATATCAAATATTAATTTTTGGAACACAAGAACATATAAAAACCAAATTTCCCTTTTTCTATGCTGGCGACAAATTAATTAATTTATTTTCTTTAATGGTCAGAGATCTTTTATACTCAATCAATTCTTTGCATATATTTTCCGTCTTCGGACTCCAGACATAGCCCTTTCTTCTTTATTCTGTTTCCTGCCATTAACCTTATTTGTTCCTATCCATTTACTTTTTCTGTTTTTTGTTTTTGTGTTTAATAGATACTTTGAATGGGAAAGCATATACCGCAGAACTGCTACATGCACTTTCACGTTATTATTAAAGCTAAAATTGTGCACCAAAAATAAACAGACAAAATAACATTTTGTAATATATATATATATATATATATATATATATATATATATTATATCTCGTTATATATTCTTCCCTTTCATGCAAAAATATTTCGATCACCTTGATTTTCTAAATGTAGACAATTTCTCCCCTAGAGCAGCAAAAGGAAAAGAGAGAGAGGAAGTAAGGAACAAAATCCAGTGAATATCAATTGCAGCCATTCATATACACAATGAGGTGACTGTTCATATGTAACAAACAACCCAAATGCATTACGAGAAGATTTAAAAAAACAAAACAAAACAGTTCCAACAAGGAAATTAAGCAGAACAGAATTGAAAACAAGGAACAGGTGCAATAGTTAAGGATCATTAGACACGAGTGCCACTAACAGGAACACCTGCACCCTTGTGCATAGGATCTCCCGTAGTCCCTCCCACACCATAGTCAGTGTCACGGTACCCGGGACCATATCTGCTACTGTATAGCCCTGCATGGATCAGCAACAGGTACAACAACTGTGTGAAGGTAAGTATGATTATGAAGGCCTCCACTACCTTCAATCTCCACCCTCTGTGCCCTCCTATGTTTATCTGCTTACAAGCCAACCTGTTCAAAATAAATATAATTAGACCAAAGTATTGTATAATATGTAGTATTATTTACCATTAAAACAAAAAGTCTTAAGCCATGGTAAAATTAATACCCAAAGGCTAGAGCAGTAACAGCCCAAGCAATGATTGATGTGGCTCCTGCAGATGCTAAACTGTCACTCCTCCACGTCCTCATGTGATTGCCACCAAGAAATTTCGACACAATGCCTAGTACAGCTGCTAGTATGGCAAAGATCAAGAAAAACATGGTTGCACCATTTCCTCCAAAACCTGAATAGCAACATAAAAAAGCATATAATTTTATAAGATAGAAAAAGTGAGTTACATTTTGTCACATGAACGATGAATCGAATGTGAGATTGTAGAGAAAAAAGACGAGGGAGGAAGTGTAAGTTTACTTGGGTGATAGGTTTGGCCATTGATAAACCTGTTGAGGCACCAACTAGCAAAGCCTAGAACAATAAAATACATGACCAAGTTAAGAAACAAAAGAGGTGCTGCTACGTTCCTTCCCACCATGGCCATTCTTGAGAGTAGCTAGTGATTTCTCTGAGATAAAAAGTAGAGAGTATATTGCTTTCACGGATTTCAACTTCACCCAATCTTAGCTAGTTCTTTCTGCTCGTGAGGCTGTAGAGGGTGGCATTGTGAAGCCATAAATATAGAGACTGCATCGGTGCCTTCAAGACACGTGTCAACCAGCAAGGTTTTGCATGTGTGCTTTCGTGTACAGCTGGTAGGACACTTGTCGTCTTTTGTCACTATCTTCTCCGCAAATCTCTTTCTTCCTCTCTCTCTCTCTCTCTTCAAATTAGATTAATCTCGAATTTTAATAAAACGGTGCATTACAAAGAAATAAAAATAAATCAATGTATATATAGTTTGGAATAATCGAAATTCATAGGATTAAGCTGTTAAAATTTAATAAGTTTTACATGCATGTAGTTGAAATTCGATTGTTGTGCTATAAATATTATAGTACATATATATATGTATGTAGATCACTTTAAAGCTTACACTCATTAAAAAAGAATATTATTTTCATATATTCATTGCATTTTTGACTGTATATATTCATTAATGTAACATCTAAAAACACTTTAATCAAGCACTAAAAACTGAAATGTCGGCATTTAGAGTTATTGTAAGATTGTATATTAATGTATTTATTTAACAGGGTGGTCTTGATCTATAGCAGGGTAGACATCGATTGGTTGAACACCTGTGCTGAGGGGCTTCGTTCCAGAAGAAATCATTCTTATCCTATCCAATTGGACAAATATGATGAGAATTCGGAGTGTTATTATATGCTTCGAAGTGACCCACTGAAAGATTCCGCATTGAGGTTATATATATATATATATAATGTTTGCATAGTTTAGAGATATTGAATGAGATTAAATTCTACATCATCAATATTATTATAAATTAAATTACGTTGTAATATCTATATAACCACTTCATAAATAGATAACTTAATATTTTAGTACACACACATATATATATATATATATATATATATATATATATATATATATATATTTTGTCTTGCTAAACTAGTTGGATAATTCTACTTCTTTTAGATATACACCGCCCAGGAATACTCCAAAAAGAAAAGGCCTGGTAGGAGTCGATTATATATAACTGGCAGAGTCAGGGAGAGCACAAGATTCAAATGTAGAGAGAGAGAGAGAGAGTTTTCCTTCAAGCTTGTTCTTGATTTCCTTTTACATTTTTGGTGAGAACTTGTTCTTGGATTGGGAAGCTCATCAACTTGGGCTGGTTCGCTCGAGATCAGTTAAGTGAGGGTAAGTTCAACTAACAAATACTAGGCCCAATTTGTTATGTGTACTTTGCTGGTTATTACAGTTATTCCTTTGATTTGTATTTTATTTATTTATTTAAATAAATTAGATTTAACAAATTAAATATAAATTGTTGATATCTAAATAACACTTGTAATAACTAAGCCACACCAATGGGAAAGGATGATTGTGGCACAATTGGGATTCAGATTCTTTACGGCGGTGTAGTACTCTCTGTATCGAAGATCTCAACCATTAATTTTATATCTAACGGTTATAAAAAATTACAATATTGTATAGTCAATCAGTTTTATGTTTTATCGTACACTTATTTTTATTTTTTCTGAAGAAGCAGGAGGGTCGTAGAGGATCCGAAATCGACACGACACGATTTAGGGTTATTTATATAATTAATGTGCTTGTGTTCAATTTTGCTGTAATCAAATGAGGAAATGAGAGATTATAAATAAATTGTTCATAAATGTTATTTGTTCTTTCATTTTTTTCTATTGATATCTATAAAAGTATAATATTATGCTACTTTAATTTTTGTTATTTCTTCTTTGATTAAATCAAATAAAAGAAGATATTCTTTTCTTCCCATCCTTTTCTGCATGCTTAAATATATTTTAAATTCTAATATTTTATTGTATTTTTTATTTTATTCTCTTTGAATAACCTTTTTTTTTTGTTTTAATCTCATATTTTCATCAATTTTTATTTTTAAATTTAGACAATAATTTTTTAAAATAAGAGATGAAAATATTTGTTTTATTATATTATCACGCGTAGAGCAAGCTGATCTATAGAAGGAGGCCAAGATACTTTGGCTACAAAAGAAAATAAGGTACAAGTATTATTGTATCCAACATTGGTATGGCTTTTTATTGAATCAAACCACACTTTCCTCCAGCAAATAAGACTACTGTGCCTAGTGCTTTGCAGATTGTTTGCCTGCCTTTCCCTACACACAACCAAAGATTCAAAAGCTTCATTTAGTTAATTTAAGCACATAACAAGAGTCATCATTCCACCATGTGTAACGCTCATGCAACATTTAATGTGTCACTGTTACCAAAAAGAAGATATATACCTTTTTCTTAGATTCCGAGGGCTTCTGTGGAGCTTTCTTTGGAGTTGATTTGGAAGTTGGACCTTTGGATGCACCATCACTAGCTTTAGGAACAGCTTCTTTTTAGCCTGCCCAAAAAGTTGGGTGCCATTGGGTTTGTCAGCCTTCAGGGATGCCATCTATGTTGCTAAAAAATATATCTAAATTGAAAGAGCTTTTATATATAAATTGTTGTGTGGTTTTTGCCTATGCAAGCTCTCAAACACAATGTCTTTTATAAGAGTCTAAACTCACTGGACCATAGTAGCAATGTGAAGAGAACTCGAATCCCAATTTACAGTTAATGATGGTGAATTAATGGTGGAGAGTAAATTGGAATGGAATAAATGGTTTGGAGATAGTTCATCCCATGAAACAGTGCTTTAGAATCAGATACGTACGTCTGTTCAGTAAATTTTTCTAACATTATCTTTGATGAACCTTTCAGAAGCAGGTATATCTGAGGATAAATTAAACTAGGCACTAACAACTTACCTAATGAATTTGCTATTAATTAGTTTTTGTTTTGAGAACGTGATATGCTTTATTTCAGTTTATTTTGAATTATTTGTACGTAAGTTTCATTTTTTTTACCACAAATATTTGACGAGTAAAATGTTTTTGAATTCAGTGAAAAAAAAGTAAAGAAAAATTAACAAATAAAATGGTAGCAATTTCTTTAATTAAATTGTTGTAATATAAATTGTCACTTGAGTGGGTGTTCGTATAGTGCATTATTTATATGAATTTTCCCATCGGCAGTAAAACAAATGTTCATATTTTATGCTACAATTCAACCGTTGTTATTTGTTAGTATTATGATTTTGTAAGTTATTAATTTGAAAAATAAATACTTTAAGAATATTAGGACTTTATATATTGCTTTTTTAAAAAGATCAATTTCATATATTCTATAAATTTGGTACACTAGCATTTTGGATAGTTGAGCTTATTATCTTTCACATACTATCAAAATACCTTACCTCTAGTTCACTTTTAGTAAGATATATTTCATGTTTGAGAAATACGAATTTGTACATAAGAACACACCTGCGTATGTAAATGAAATGAAATAATTTTATAGTAAATATCATGTGAAGGGTGCGTAATAAATATCTCATTTGATTTAGACTTTCGTGGCAGTTAGATTTTTTTTTTTCCCATTGTTAGAACTTTTATTGATCAAAATTTGTATCAATTTAATTTTTTTATTAGGAAGACTTAATCTTTAATCAAATTAAATTTTGAATTGGGAAATAGTCCAATATTGATTGCAAAATAATATTTATGTACCACTAAATTTAAAACTAGCACATTATTAAGAGAAGTAATATAAGATTTTTGTCCATATATTAATTGAGTGCCATCAACATTTTGATAGCAACCAAGTGCATTATTGATATGTTAAAATTATTAGGTATGAAAAAGAAGTCTTACATTTGAACGATAATAGGTTAAGTAACATATGATGATAATGATTTATATATTTGATGCAATAATGTTTTAGGTTAAAATTTAAGTTTATTTGTGTGGTTTACAACAATATATATACGGTAAGGGTAACGATATTCTCGCACTAATATAAGTTTAATAATATTTTTGTTTTAATGTAAAGTTAAAAACTTTTAAATTTAATTTAAAATTTTTATTTAATTTACATCTAACGATCAATGAAATAAAAAATTATAATATATTAAATTAAATAAAAAATTCAGATTGAGTATATAAATTTTTAAACTTATACTAGTGTAAAAATATTTTGTCTCATTATATATATATATATATTATTTTGTTAAAAATATATTTTTAAATATTTTTAAAATTAATTATTTTAAATTTATTTGACTAGTTTAAAAGAACAAACTAAATTAAACTTGTTTAGAACATGAAATTATTTTAGTAGCTTATTCTATTTTTTTAGAACTTTTAAAAATGCCAGTTCATGACAAATGTTTATTTTTTTATTTTTATTATTTTATTATAATTTATCAATTTTCCTTATTTGAAATAAATTTAAATGTAAAAAATGAGAACGATTTAAAAATATATATAGTTATTAAATTTTAAATTAGGACTAATAAAATAAATAATTTTTTATGTTTATTAATTAGTTTCAACATCTAATTTTATCAAATATTTTTTAATTCAATTAACTAATTTATAAACTTTTAAGTTTTATCATTTTGGGACGATTTTCAAAATTTTAATTAATTTATCTATTAATTTTGTATATCTTAAATAACATTGATTTTTTTTTCTCTTCCATATCCATTTATTATTATTTTAATTGTGTAATAATTTTATTATATGATTTCTACGATTTTTTATTTATTAAAAATTGACTACATGCATTATTTATTTGAAATAAAGTTAAAATAAAACATTTCACTAAAATCTCAATACGCCATTTAAATTTAATATCTTTTTATTAATACGACATTTAATTTCAAATGAAAGGACATTGTTTTTGGCTTGTTGTGCCAGTAGCAGGACACAATTTATTTGAGGAATCGTGATTATCTCACATTATTGTATTTTTATACTTATCCTATTTAAATAATTATTTTATGTGGCGTGGTTTCTTTCTTTTCTTTCAAGTGATTTAAAATTTTATAGAAAAAATATGTAAAAAGAGTGTATGAAACGTGAGGAAAGACAATAGTTTGTTCACAAGTCTCGACGCACCTGGCTGTCTATGAGGGCAGGAGTCAATTTAGACAACTAAAGGAAGGATCCAAAATAAATGTATTTTAATAATTAAAAAAGGTATTAAGCTTACTTTTGTCAATATAACTTCTATTTAATAAAAATTTCTTAGTATAAACATCATAAATAATAATAATAATAATAAAATATATTATTTACATAATATAGATGTTAACAGTATATTAATTTCTTTAATTAATGTAATTATGTATTACTGCGGTATCATATTTTTGGCATGAACTTATAATATTTATATTAAAACTTTAGTTTCTGCATATATTTTAAAAGAATCCCACCTCCCTCCAGTGAATCCGCCCCTGACTAGAACGTGTTAAAAAGGTACTATCAGATGAAAATAAGTATCTTTATTTATTAGGATGAAGATACAGAACAAAGTGGTACATTAGAGACAATAGTACGACTAATAAGCTTGGTGGAAGTGCATCACATAACTGTAACCTTATGGACTATTCATATAATCCCAACAACTATTCTCTTTAGTCATCTAAATTTCAGACACATCTTCGGCTTATTTATTGCTGCTAGCCTGAAAAAACATCAAAACATTATTTGAAGTCAGCTAAGGAAAAAAACTCATGCATGTATGTCTCCTGTGGTGTAACACAAGTACAGTTTTTTGTACTGCAAATAAAGAGAAGTAGACATGTGTTATTAAAATTTATTATTAATATATATTTATTGTGATTTCTAATGCATACAATGTAATTTTTAATAATTTTTTAAGATTCTGGTTAGCAAGACATTTTTTGTGCATAGCTCAATTACCACTTCCCCAAGGTCTGAACCCTGAAATATATAGCAATGAACTTAAAAATAATTTGTTTGATTATGTGCATAAATATATATATATATCTACGTACCTTCTTCTTAGGTTGAGACTTCTGTTCAGTTTTCTTTGGGGCAGGCTTGGAGGATTGAGCTTTGGGAGTGGTTGAACTAGTTTTAGCAGCAGGTTCTTTCTTGACCTGTCCTGTAGATGGTTGGGAGCAACAAGATTTCTCAACAGGTTTCTCAGCTTTGAGTGATGCCATATTTTACAATACTCCTCTAAGACTTCACCTAGCTCAGCCTCAGGTTATAACACTACAAGATACATCAATTTATAGTTGAAATTGAGCATAATGCTATGTGACATCAAATTGCTAGTAACCTTCTTTAGGGAATGGAATAAAACTGAACTGGCCACTTGTGGAGGGATGTTGGAGAATGTGATGCTTTACCTTAGGCATATTTTTGTAGATATTATTTTATTCATATTCTACAATTTGGTTAAATTATACTGTTGAGGCCTGCATGATCCATATGCTATTAATCTGAATGCTTTCTTGAAGACTCGTATCTTTTTCTTCTAACAACTTGACCTTTCTCTTTTTCTTTGGTTGATAACAGTGATAGACCTTTTCAACTTATATGTTATAGATATTGGGTTCTTTCCCTTGTTACAAAAGTAAAGGCAATGGCAAAAGAAAAAAAAAAGTGCTAAGTGCGTCTGATTTCTAAAATATAAAAGATTGGATATCATAAAATTACTTGGTCTGTATTTAATTTTAAAAATAGTTATGGGACAGAATAAAATAAAAAGGAGTATAAAGCCAAAGTCTTCAAATTTGTTACTCAATCAACAAGGGAATAGCTCTCTATCCTATGCACAATACTGTCCTAAAATAAAAAATAACCAACAATTTCTCTCCCAATAATCCTCTTTTCCAAGCATTCCCTGACTCAACTTTCCTTCTCCTTGTCTTCTTCCCTTTTCCTCTTTAAAATTTGCTTGTGCCGAGTATTGACACACAAAAGGTTGTGTTGTAATTAATCTATTTGTACTCATGTTTTAGTTATACTTTGGATTAAATACACCTTATATGTAGGTGAGTATTATACGTTCATGTATGGGTGCTTATGTTAGTGATAAAACATTTCTTCTGAATCAAATCAAAATTCTAAACTATGAATCCCTTTCGGGAGACGAGATTACCATATAACTTGTGATTAGGGAGGACTGAAATTGGATGGATCGTTGACTTATTATATGGTATAAATAAAAAAAATTATATGAGAATGTACATAGTAGATTAACTTTTTAGGATGAAGGGTTTCTTGACGTGGACAGAGGCATAACAGAACATTTTTTTTATTATTTGCAAAAATAAATTGACAAATATATTCGGAGTTTAAGAACAATTAAACCCTCCAGCAGTCACTAAGTGAATACTGATACTACTATTTAACCACCTTTTAAACATCATTGATCAATTGAGAAACTTACTGTATCAAAACTGATAATATTATTACCGATGATTCACTTTTTATTTTCCCTATTCAAAATTAATTTCCCTGCCCGTGTATTATTATTTTGGTTCATCAAACCAGTCCCACAGAATCGTCATAATTAAGGAGTTTGCCCCAAATTAAATCAATAAGGACAGGATATGATTGAATGAATCCATTAAAGTGCAGAAATAATAAAATTATAAAAAAAAAAATGATAGTGTGCTGGTCTGATAGAGACAAGACAAAATACAAAATGCCAAGGGAATACGCATTTACTTGTTATTATGTTCCAAGTTGCAACAATTGGCTCCATGAACATCCAAAATCACCTTTTGATGGCAGCAATAAACCATGCCCTCTTAAAAATGGCTTAAACACTAGATGGTGTCCAACTGGTACGGCTGATTTTTCTCCATAAAAAAATTGGACTATATTCTACAAATTTTGATTGCTTCATATCACATCAATTAATCACAAGGATTTAAGATTTTCTTCTCCTTACAAGTTGAATCGAATTACCACTTTAACTGAGGTGGTGATTCAAACAACCAAACTTGGAAAATTAATAACTTGTTCTCTCTAATGTGTTAAATCTTTAGTCAGTGAGGTTGCCCCATCCTCAAAGCTAGATATGCCACAACTCTGTATCCAATCAACATTACAGTCAATGCAGCCACATCTCCCCACATATTATTATCAAGCCCAAGACACTTTATGGCAGGAAAATCTCTTATCCTACAATGCAACCCTGATCCACACTCATACACCTCATTTACTGAAAACTGGACTCCTACTAGTAGCTTATAGCAGTAGTGACTAAAAGAAATGTACTTTAACCAAGCTATAAAGGAGGGAATTTGCTGAATGTAGTAACCACCAGCTAACAGAAACACCAGCATGGTCACTGATGCTAGAGTTGTGGCCTGCTTCACATCCATGAGAATTGCACCAAGTGCTAGGCCTATGCCTTGTGAGACTAGAACATTAAAAAGCATGATCAAGAGGGTCAACAAAAATGTAACCAATGAAGGCTTAAGACCACCCATCCAGTATGTGATAGTTACAAAGATAGTAGGAAGCACAAGCTCCATTGGTAAGTCTCCAACCATCCTAGCAACATAGTATGAGGAGAGATGGTACATGCCTGATGATCTTTCTTTTATTAGCATTGGCCTCTCCAAAGGGAACGCAAAGATGGCATTGAAGAGAGGGAAGAATCCCCAGAAGATGGAGAAGAAGAAAAGGAGTCCTACCTGTTACAATACAAGGGTTATATTGTTATAAGTAGTACTACTACTACAGGATAAATTTACGGCTTTCTAGTGACTATTTAGCACAAATTAACTAGGAATTGATAATAAAACCCAAGCAAAAATGCTAGTACTTGATATTTTGCACTGCTCAACTTATCTCCCTCCTTTGTATCCAAAATTTTCATACAAGAAAAACAGAACATAGGTTCATAAATACCTGATCTTGTACATGTGAAGGATCAGAATGCCACCAAAGGAGTCCGGAGAGAATGGAAACAGACAAGACTTGGAAAATCCTTAAGCCAGAGAAAGATTCATGCCTCCTCTCTTGTAAACCCCTCTTAAGAAGTACCTTGAATTGCTCCCACCAGTTAGTGGTCCATCGGTTATCAGAACCTGCCAGGCATAAATAATGATCATTAAGCCAGTGTTATACATCACTTACTCTGTTCAACATCAAGAGAGCAATAAAATTCCACTTACGTCTAGGTGTTCCTGATGCAAGAGTCACCGGGTCATTGTGACTTTGCTGAATCTCTTCTTTAAGAGCAGGATATAAGTTCTTCTTAAAGGATGAAATTAGGGACTGTTTGACTGAAGCTTGATCCTCATGATGATCTATATGATCATCATGTTTGACATCAGCAACTATGCCTGCCAAACCACATAATCTAAAAAATTAGATAGCTCACCAGCATGTCTCTAAAGAAATTCAATGCGAATCCACCAATTTTTTGGGCCTACACGACTAAAGGACAATCATCAACCATGCTTAAAGATGCATCCACCATACCTATTTTTTGTGGTTTAAATAACTCGTTTCAATTCTAGGGAATTCAGTTTAATATCTCATCTAATTTTGAAATTAAAGTAGAATGGACTTCTAAAGCAGTTCTAATTAATACCAAAATCACACATATCTTTCACAAAACTTTATCTGGTCACCTCTCCATGAGAATTGAACCATTTCAAACCCCCTTTAACATTTATTACATAAAGTTTTTCTCGTGTTGTTGATCCATGTCTCCACAAAACAAAACTCACATGCCCAAGAGGGATTAGTATCTTTCGCTCTAGTGTCTCATCAATTTTGCTGCATCTAGTGACCCATTATTAGCTGTTGCCGCCTTGAGAACAAGGGTCATGGAATCAAAGAAAAACCTCAAATCTTTTTGCCCCTCCATTATTCAAAATTTGAAAATGAACCCTTACCTAACAATCAACGACAAGTGTAAATAACTCAAGGGACAATTTTGTTTTGTGAAGTTGACATGCACAAAATCCGGAACTTTCCTTTCTCATTATAGCAACACAAATACTAACTATTGGTTTCAAGATATAAATGCATGTCACAAATAATTACATTATTTACAAAATTTGTCTAAAAACAATTTTTTTTGGCAAACTAAATTAATTAAAGGAATCATTGAAATTTGGTCAAACCGCTTACCATTAGCAAGATCAAGTAGGAAATCAGCCGGGTTCATGAAATTGAAAGCTGGCACATATCCAACGGATCCGAGATAGTCCATGACCCGACCCGAATGCCCACTATAAATCGGGTACCCGTCGGATAACACAACCACCTTATCAAACATCCTATACAACCGACTTGAAGGCTGGTGAATGGTGGTGACGACGGTCCGGCCGGCCCGAGCGAGGCCGCGGAGCACTGACACGATGAGTTGGGCCGTGGTTGAGTCCAAACCCGACGTGGGCTCATCCACAAACAACAAACTCGGGTTAATCAACATCTCTTGCCCGATACTGACCCGTTTTCTTTCCCCACCCGAAATGCCTCTGAACAAAGCCATGCACCCTCCAACGGGGCTATTACGACACCGTGTTAACCCAAGCTCCATGATCACCATCTCTGCATGCTCCTTTTTCTCTTCTTTGCTTAAACTCTTTGGAAGTCTCAACAAAGCTGCGTAGGTAAGAGTTTCAAGAACCGTGAGGTGAGGGTACAGAACGTCGTCTTGTGACACGAACCCGATTCTTCGCTTCATGAAGGTCGGGTCTGAATGCCCATTGTATGTTATTGTGCCGGAGACTTTTCCGGCGAGTCTTCCGGCTAGGGCGGTTAGTAGGGTGGTCTTGCCGCTCCCTGAGGGGCCCAGCATTGCTGTTAGCTCGCCGGGGTTCGCCGTTCCGGTCACGCCGGTGAGTACTTTTCGTGTCAGCTTCGCTTCTTTCCGCAAAACACAACCCTTCTTTTGGCTTTGGAAGGTTATGCTGTAAGATACGTCTTCAAACTATCCCACACAAGATACACACAAAAATTAAATAAAATTAAATTATTTGTTTGGATTTATGCATGATTAGTAGCTCCATTTTCATTTCATATTACTATCATCGTGTTATATTTTCTTTTCTGTTTTTACTTATTTGTACATAAAACAATAAAGTAAATAGCATTTTATTATTTTCATGCATGTTTCATTATACAAAACTATAATAAGGTGACGGATATGTAACTTTTTGTATACCAATACACTTATTGCATTTTTAAAAAAAAGATTTTCTAGCAAAAATAAATGTTTATAACTTCTTATTTTTTTTTAAAATATACTCTTTAAAAATAAACTATACTGAACATTAGTTATATAATTGTGAAAAAGAGAGAGAAGAATGGTATAATACCTTGAGGGTAACAGGACGCAAGGATTGGTGAAGAATGGAAAATCTTGGTGCGGTTGTTGGCTGAGGGTGATGCTGTGCAGGAATATTAATGCCATCATCATCCAAATTACTGGGTTTGATTTTGTTAGTGGTGGAACCCTCCGGTTCGAGGGTGTTCTCGGGGCGGGTTGAGATGGCTGGAATGTTTGGTGCAATAGTGGTTTCTTGCTCAGGGGGCATCATCGCAGAGATTGAAGATCAACTCAGATTATGTATTCTTATGAGAAGAGTTCTTAACAAAACTGAACGTACTATGATGTGTGTATGAAGAAGAAGTACTAGACGAAGGAGCTATACTATAGAGCCCAAAAATGAAACAAGGGATACAGATGAAGATGAAAGAGGAGAAGAAAGAAGAGGTAGCTGGTCACATGAGAGAACAGGTGTAAGGTGAGTTAATAAAGTGAAGAGAGGAAGGCACGAGAAGCACACAAGGATGTGATTGAACGATAACACAATATATAGTCTTAGGAAGAGAGACCATCCATCATCTGCTGCCACTGTTTTGGTGTTGCTGTCACTACTATTTGTTTGTTTGTTTGGTGTTGAATGATGTTATTTTAAGCTATGCTCAAGTAAGATAATGAGAATAATACCAAATAAGAATGGGTTTGGGCTATTTTTTATTTCTTTTTTAGTTTTTCCATTACATTGGGAAATGTATTGTTGATGGGTGGATGGGTGGATATAACGGTATTGCATTGAACAGAGCCACGTGTGTGGAGGACATTTCTTTGATTCCTTATCTTTTCTGTGAAAAAAGTAATGGAGATTTTTAAAGTTTGGGGAGAAAAAGGTTTGTAATAATACTAATAATCAAAACAGCTTGGGACCCACTATCTGATTTAATAATATCCACTTGTCCTCAAAGTTTGAGAATGCATAATGCCTTTTCTTTTCTCTCCGGTCTATTATTGTATTAGTTTTTTTACTATGGTAAAATATAAAACTATCATCGGTCAAGACATGTGCTATTCACACCCCTAAAGAAAAAGTCAAGACATGTTCTGCTATAGTTTTGTGATTCTTTTTTGTTTTGGGTTTTACTCTTACATGTAATAGGTGCCCTAGCAATTGATACTATAATAATGATTAAGCATTTGATTTCTTTAGAGATTTTTTAATTAAAAACATATATTAAGAATTATAATAAATTAAAAAAATACATAAAAGATATATATAGACATTGACACTTTAGAAGTTGAAAAAGTAAATTTCATAAAAGCTTAAAAAAAATAATAAAATTATAAATTCTTGGCTTTAATTTTAAATAAATAAATTATTAGGAGACTACAATTCCTGAGTAAATTAAAATAAATAAATAAAAACTAATCAAGCAGTGATCTGAATATCAAACTATCTTTATTTGCTCATTTTGTAACCAAAGTTAGGTAGTGAGCATGTACTTTATTTTGGATAGAGTTACCCCAAAATCTGAATTAAAAAGTAAAAAAAGTGAAAACCTTGACATATACATCTGCTTGAGAATAAAGGTGGTGCAGAACTAGAAATACATCATCCGTGATATATACTGTGAAACACAAATTGAGATAAACAAAACTAATATATATATATATATATATATATATATATATATTCATTATTGTGTGTATTTAATATTTTAAAGTGATAAAATGTCGCAAATTAAATGTAAGAACAGCATATATATATATATATATATATATATATATATATATATATTAACAGATAAAACTTGAAATGATCTTCTCTCTTCTACTTCCAGTTCTTTACTTTTATCTTTATTTTAACTGTTAACCAAACAAAGTGCTACCACTAAATAAAATATCTTCAATTATATGCACCGCTCGAAAGAGAAAAAAAGAATGTAATATGGGAGGCTAGCTTTACTGTAGAAGATATCGGGTAGGGCACCAAACCTGTTAATTTTTCAAAGAAAACACATGAGAAATCTTAATATAGGTAGGGGAATCACCAAAAAAAAAAAAAAAAAAACACCTTGTAGCTCGTTTGCCTTGGACTCTCTTTATAAATATAGGGTATCTGTTTTTAGGGTGTGCTGGAGAAAAAAAGTAGAAGAAAGCATGGTTCCCCTCAATGACTTTCTAGGTGTCAAGTACCGATTCCTTCCCATAAAAGGCATTGGTTACAGTATAGAGTCACAATCACTGAAAGGAGCTTCCTTCGTAAAAACTTTGTTCTTTTAATTATCGGGCTGCGCTAGGTGCCCTTTTTTTTATTATTCAATTTATATATGTAGAACTTAAAACTTGAAAGTGGTTGTTAAATTAATTATTGTTAAAAAAATTGGCTTAAAATATAGTTTGTTATCTTCTTTAAGTTAGAAATATTCAGATCATGAGTAATTGCTATTTTGAATATGGTTTTAATTAACCATCATCTTCAATCGGAAAAATTAGTTTGGCAATTGTATTTGTGTGAAGGTCTGGCTATAGATAAAAAGGAATGGTAAAATTAATCTGTAAAATATGATATTAATTAAGATTAGGACTTCAAATAGTTGAATTGATCGAGGGAGGAAGCTATGAAGGACGAATAATATATTCAGAACACATGAAGATATTCTCATTATTTGCTATGTTCCACCTGACCTGTTGGTGTCCGATCAATAGAAGTTAAACTTAAGAAGATTTGAAATGAGATATAATATTCTAAAACTCTTTCGAATCAAAAAATTAAAATTATATCTTGACGTTACGTGTCGACGTTTTGATGAAGGATTAATAAACGCTGCCTACAAGTAAGAGACAAAGACAGAAGACAGTTTACCTTAAATAAACAATAAACAATACTTTTTAATTAGGTGCATGCTTTTCCTAATTGAGATGACAATTTATCAGAATGTAACTTCTTTTTCTTTGAAATGTTTTTTTTCGTGGAAATTTAGAATTACTCTTTTTTAATTTTTTTTAATGGTCACTTGCATTTTGTCACTTTAATTTTATTTGAATTACAGTGTTCTCTTATTGTTCAAATAGACCTTCTAACCTAAATCTGAGGTAACTTAATGGTGGAAAATAGCACCTCTCATTTTGGTGGTTAGACCAAAGTTAAGCCAATCATTCATGCACTACACATCGATTAAAATTTTAATTACTATGTTATATTTATACAAAATGAAAAAAAAAATTGAGATTTACTTTAATTTGTCGCATTCAATCTTTTGTTTCCCCATAAATTGCTTCTTATGTGAAATTTTTTTATTCTTCAATTACTTTTTTTATTTATCACTTTAAGATTTTGACAGAAAATTTAGAAATAAATTTAATAATTTTTAAAAAAATATCATTATTTATTTATTTTAAGTTAAGAGTATAAATGGAAAATAAGAATCAATACTAGCTTAAATTTTTAAAATGAAAAATATTTATTTTAAATGACAAGCAAAAAGAAATGAAAGAACTAATCAACCACAATGAAATGCGTACATAAGTAGTAGAGTAGCATGTGGTATATAAGGGAATGAATCCGTATTCTGAATCCGTATTCCTAATATCATCATTTTTTTTTTTTTTTGTGTATGCTTAAGTTTTATCTTTTCATACAATAGCATTTAGCTATGGCCTGGCTTTTCGAAAACGCAATATTACCCAAGATTTAGAGTCAAAGTGTTTATTACCCCACTAAAGATTCTCTAACTACTGACTTTTCTCCTTTAAAATATGTTAAATAATATTGAAATTGTACGTATATCCATTTTGCTTTTTCATCTTTTTGTAGTAGGGCACACTTTGTTGTGTTATTCCTTTTTATAATAATTAAGCACTAGTGGCTATGTGCCAAGTGTTCGAGCATTGGTCTAGTGTCGGACTCTTTCAACAATTTCCAACAAGAAAAAGAATAAAATGACGCTAACTTTGGAACCTTGGTTGACAATTTGACAACGTTTCGTTTAAATCTTCCATCCTCTTTCGAAAATGCATATTATTTTTTTATGAAAATAAAGCTAAGGGAGAGAGGGAAGGGAAAGCTATTCCATTTTAAAGTTGTGACATGATACAACACTTAATGATATTTTAGAGTATTTACTAATCTCACAAAAGATTAAGGAAATAATTTCTCTTGCTGCAGATCAATCCAACAATTGTTTTAATTAACTGACAAAAAATATTTTATTTAATCGGTAACAGGAATTTTATTATAAAATATAAGGGCTGTTCCAATCTTTAAACATTATATATAGATTCAAAATATTTAACTTTTATATACTAATAAAAATTAAAAATTTGATCAGGAACCAATCAATCCGTGTGAACTGATTATGATTTACACAATTGAATCAATTTTTTAAAGAAATTTTTTCTATAACAAGATAATATATATTTTGTGTGCGTAGGATTAGTGCTTATTTTGTTTGAGAGGATAGTAAAAGCTAAAGTGTTTTTATTTTTAAGGCTTTGTTTGTTATTCTATTGAAAACTTTGTTTTCCTAACGTTTTTTTTTTTTTTTAACTTTAAGAGAACTTACATCGTAACGTGTATAACTCTATCTATTTCATCTAATAAACGAACAGATACTAAGTAACTAAAGCAATAGAACAAAGAAACAGGGAATGATAGAATGAATAGAAAGGAAAAGAGACAGTGATGTGCTCAAAGGAATTTAAAAGTTAAAAAGTAAAGAGCTTAGCAAAAACCAATAAAATTAAAGTTAAAAAAAATTGACGTGATTGTGATGACTCCAGTTTTCAGAGATGGTACCTCATATTTAATATATTATGAATAAGTAAATAATTGTATATATAAAACTCAAGGATCTCAAAATCATAAACTTTGATAATGTGTGTATTTAAAAGAATTTGTAAATGATTTGGGAAAATATTTTTATGATTTAAAAAAGTAGTATAATTTATTATAATAAAGTTTTTAAAGCTCATTTTGATAAATTTTATGAAAATTTATAACATATATAAATCTGCATATAAAAAGAACTTAATTATTAAAAAATACTTCATTAAATAATAAATCTAAACACACCTAATTTATTAAATGAGAAAAAATATATAAAAACAAAATTTAAATCTTCATTTACCTCTTTAGCACACGTTTTTTGTTGTCAAAATTATTCATTACATTCTTTTCTTTTTCAATTGTCACAATAATTAATTCAATGACTGACCGCAAGATGGTGGCCGAATAAAAAGTTGACTAGAGAGAATTCAAGTTATATAAAAAAGAAGAAGATTTCAACCACTAAATTATCATAATGGATTAAAATTAAAATATAACAAATTATAATATACATACATATACATATATATATATATATATATATACTTTAAAAAATTACATAAGTTTTGAAATTAATTATTTATATAATTTTAATTAACTTATGATATTAATAATTTATATATAATTTTTTTTATATTTTTTTTTAATTTTCATTTAAAAATAACCTTATTATTAGATACATTCTC